AAAACCCATTAGTGGGCTTCTGATTTTAGTAAGACTGACAAATTTAAATTTAAAAATCTTTCCATTCGCAACAAATTCTGAATATTTGTGTACCATCAATTATTATTCCCCCATCGCAAGGGTAAACTGCCGCCCTTAATCATAATGCCACCCGCAAGGGTAATAAACAAAAGTGAGCTGCCTAACGATACTTGGCCATATGTGAGGGAAACCCCAAGTATTCCTTCTCTTCGTCGAAAATCTCAGCTTGCAATCTCCTCTGGTATGGAATGCTAGTAAACAAGAAGAGTACGCCCACACAGGCCACGTTTATTTCAAAACCATATACCAACCAGAACCAAGTCAAAGGAGATGTGAGCAGACCAGGCCAGAACCATTTCCGTTGCATGACCGTGTGCTTGAGAGTCCTTAGAGAGTCACTGGCGTAAACGAGACAATGCCGCTGAATGAAATGGGAATGTGCACTGGAAAAATGGGACTTAAAATAAGATCTTGGATAAAGTGGACAAGTTGAGTTCTAACCGCACTAATAATTTTAGATTAAATCTTTCAAAGTTCTAATAAAATAGTTTACTAAACGACCATTAAAGTTATTTTCTTTATCACTGAAGAATGTGTTAAAGAATTTTTAAAGATGTTTTTATTTCATTGCTTTCTGTGTAAAATGGACCACAAAGTCCAAGTCAACGACAGCCATCCTCATCCCCTCCCAACTTGTATTTCTTTTTTATTCTTTTTTTTCACAACTCCCCCTCACGTTTTGTTTACTTGTTTGTGCGCGTTAAACATTCTGGGATGCTTCAAGTGCAGCAGCCAAGGACATAAGATCTTGACTTACAGACAGGTGTAAATTATGTAGAGTGAAAAGAAATGCCAGCACAGAGCCCGAGAGCGAAAACAAAAGCCAAAGCATCACAGATGCAATGTTTGCTCGTTTCTGGCTGCAGACAGTTGCGTTCTTATTATTATGATTATGCCAAAGTACTCATGGTAGAATACTTGGAAATGAGGGCCTTCTGTACTACTACAGTTGGAGAAAATGTTGTGTTTTATATATATATTTCATTTTTGGGGATTAAGGTTTGATTTGTCACATAATTAATCGGTAGTTCTATATAAAAAATCTTTTAAGATGTTCAGACCTTGAAGAGTATCCCCTTTTGTCAACAAATATTCTTCCTTAACTTTATACTTCAAACTCGTTTAAACAAAAAATTAGTTAAGTTTCTTAAGTATAATCTTTCAGTGTTGCTCTGCATTTTGCCTTCAGTCTGAGTGTTTGTTGATATGCGCAGCGATTTAATTATAAACACACAACACGTGCTATATACCTTTAGATTACGGAGAGGTGTGCAAACCAAAAATAACACTCGCTTACTTCTTTATAGGAGATACTCACACTCTGATACACCGAGCTTGAACTTCGCAGCCCACTGAGCTGTGCGTAACTCGAATGTGGTTTTAATAGCGGAGTTTTAGGTCGAATCAGCCGGGGACGGGGCTGGCTATATTTAATTCTATTTAATGTATGCCAATATGGTATAATCGGGTGGGCACGCAAACACCATCATATGGTGGTATATAATTATCTAATTATGTTGCTTGTTGTTTGACCAAAAGATGTATAGGAAAGCCATAATTAAGTTAGCCAAGTATGAGAGTTGACTGATGTTAAAGTTGGGGAATAACACATAATGTCTTCAATAGCTGTTAGTTACATTAAATAGACTTTATATAATATTTTCTAAATGCTTTATTATAAAATTAAAGAGTTTTAGTTTAAGCAAATGTCTATAAATATTTATCCGAAACCTAAATACTTATCTTTACTATTTTTGAGGCACTTTTTGAATGCATTTCTCCGTAAGTTGCTATTCCTAGTAAATCATTAACTGAAATTAAACAACACTTTTGGAATTCCTGATAAAAGTTTAAACTTTTAAGGCGAATTTTGTATTGAGAACTAAATAACTTCCTGCTGGCATGTGTAATTTTCAAGATAGGAATGCCTTTGTTTAAGATTAGCTTCATCAGAATTTAGCAGCTAGTTTAGAAAGTTGTTTCTTCTAAAAGTTATTGACGTTGAAAATAATTATAAGAAAATGTAAGTAATAACCAATAACAAATAATATTGCACTTTCTTTCTCTAACTTAACTAATACCAACCTAAATGGCAGTTTAAAAATAATATATTTTCTGGCATTATTAGCCACTTAAAATGTATTTGAAAAACGCCAAAAGACCTCAATTGAAATAATCAACGCCATTTGCTGATTTTGCTGAGTACAAAATGAACTCTTAACATCATGCAATGACCGTTCGTTAGCTCCAGTTTCCCGGTGCCGTGTGTGTTTTTCCTTTACTTTTTTTTTTTTTTTTGTATTTTATAATTTTTGTAGATCATAAAGCATCGATAAAAATCGCTGCGCCCGGTCAATGCACGCGGCTTTCGACGTCGTTATTGTTGCATGTGCCGCAGAAATAAAGACGCAGAGTTTTCCTCGATGAAAACTAGCCGGCCACAATGGCTCACAGTTCGCTGATTGTAATAAAACAAATGCCTGAAATGTGGTCGGTCAGCAGGCATAGTTTTTTTTTAGAGGCCAGTAAAAAACCACAGGAAAAAAGTGCACTCAGGAAAAAATGGGTTATTGGGGGTATAATAAATATTTACTATTGATTAAGAAAGATAGCTAAACTACCAAAAAAAATCGTATTTATCTTCCCAATTTTTAACCGAAATTACAAATTAAAACAATGAACTGGATGAAATTTCTACAATTTTCTACAGGATTCCAATAGTTTTTAAGTGTAACAAACGTTTACGACTCTCGCATGCCAAACTCACATTTAGTCCAGTTTCGTAGTCGAATGTATTGACTGACGTTTTTTTTTTCCTTCTTAAACTTTACAGGGTGCCGGCAAGGAAATCCGAGAAGCCATCGCCGATCCATCCCCGGAGGTGACGGGCAAAGCCTGGGCGGCGGTACTGCCACTGGTCGATAAGCTGAAGCGCTGCTATGAGCACTCCATGGAGCTGGACAAGATTGTGCCCAAACTGCTGGGCCAGCTGGTGGGCGGCAAACTCAATCCGACACAGCATCTGGAGACCCAGCAGGCGCTGGTCAAGCAGCTGGCCGAGATCTTGGAGTTCGTGCTGAAGTTCGATGAGTACAAGGTGAGTGAGTTGCTTTGACAGCTGGGTGTTACAAGCTCCATGGTCCATATTTGGCGGTACAGCGCCCACCATGTTAACCCATTAAGTGTTAGTGAGGGGAAAAACCGAACATTACATTGTTTGCGTATGACAGTAGAATTTTAATGAGAATTTATGGGTTATGTATTTTATTAATAATAATTCTTCGGGCAATGGATTCTATCAAAGGCCAGTATTTTAGGAATATTTGTTAATCAAACTTTGTATTACTTCTGTAATGTGTTAAACGAAATATTTGCATAACTTTTTGGCAGACTGGAAATTTTTGTAAATCATTGCACATACCAAAAACTAAAGAGATGCAAACTGAGGCAACACCTCAGTCAAGATTTAATTGATTTTATCTCCATCTGTTTACTGAGTTATTAGTGGGTTAAATTCTGTCTTCTTCACTGCCTGTTTGTCTGTTTGTTTACCTTATGTGGGCGATGTCTGACGACTGGCAAGCCAAAGCAAAGCAATATCTAAAAGCCAAGTCAAATGAAGCCAAACCAAGTCCCACTGCCAACTCATTGTGCGCGTGGTTGCATTTTTAATTGACTGACTTTTTTGCTTGCTTGCCGTCTGCCTGGTTGACTGACTGACTGACTGAATAACTGAATAACTGACTGACTGGCCAAGACGACTAGCGCGTGCCTCGGCCCATTGATGAAAAATCTTTCAGGCCATCCATCCGTGCATTCATTCGAGCCACAGTGGAGCATCGGAGGCACTTACGCACACGCAAGCCAAATGGCCCACGACAAAAGACCGATGGCCGGATGAAGTTGTAAAATGAATAAAGCCGGCACCGGTGGCCCAAACAGCGGTGGTCAGCTGAGTAGGGCAACTTGGGTTTTTAATAACAATATTTTGAATAATATATTATTAAAAAGAATATAATTTTAGGAGAGTTATAGTGAGATCATGTAAAGTATATGTAGTATTTCGAAGTATAGGTGTTCTCTGAAACCAAATAGCAGTATTTAGATACTTATTTTACCTCAAGTGTTAACCATAAACAAAAGCCTGAAATATGCGAACAAATGTATCCGCACTGGGTTAAAATCTTATCTACAAACACACCACTTTCTGTGTTGGCAGTTGAATATGTCGGCTTTTTGTCCGGAGCCAAACAAAATCGATTTGGTTAATGGGAAATCCCTGTGAATGGCGCATTTCCCATGGCTCGCTTCCGTTTTGGCGAAACTTTCATCAAATCGATCCGGGGGGAGCAGAATGTACTAGAGGAGTAAAGGGAGAATGGAGGGATCTAGGACATTTGGGAGGTGTAGGGATGGATGGATGGATGGATGGCCAAGTCATCGGCATCGTCGTCGGCTTCTACTCTCTGATGTCTAAGTGTCTGCAACTTTGTGCCCCCAATGATAATGATGATGTTGATGATGGCAAAGGCGATGATAATAGTACCTATGATGATGATGTTAAACGCTGTAAACTGCACGTTCATTGTGTGCTCAAAGTGTCAGCTGCCTGGTGGCTCACACAGATATATATATCAATGTAAAAGTTGTGTACGAGTATATAGACCAGACGTGCTTCCCAAGCTACTTCCGTTCCTCAATAAAGAGACCCCATTGTCTTTTGGCTTTTGTTGCTTTTATTTCCAGTCAGCCGCAAAGTATGCTGCACAATTTATTGACTTTGGTTGTAACTGGCTTCGTTTTAATGTCGAGTTTATTGCGAAAAATCGTCTGAAATCGAGAGGCACTTACTTGCAGTGTGTTTGTTTGGTGTAAGGTGTATATGGGCTAGAGGAAGTTTTACAAAATTAAACTGAAACTAAACCATAAACAAGGTTTTATTGCTTTTTTCTCTCCAAGAGTTTGGATAGGGATAGGGACTGGGATAGTCGATTGGATAACAAATTGAAAGTAGTTTAGGTATAAAGTTATATTTTGGCCATAAATGAGATATTTTAGATCTATAGTTCCTTTGGAATTATATTGATATAATTTGCTTACCTTCCTTCTTATGGTAAACCATTTATATTCAAAGTGGGAAGAACCCTCTCAATCCCTTTCAAGCAAATATTTACTTATATGTTGACTTTTCAGCAGCTGCATCTTAATCTTTATCGGTTGCAATTGATCTGGCCAGAATACAGACAAAATTGTTTTCTTGGCACGCTTTCAAAAGGCTAATGGCTCTTGAGGGGATTTATTCAATTTGGCTTATGTACAGATTTAAATTCACACAGTTTTTCCTTACTTCTCATCGAAATCTTCACTGGTATTGTAAACTGGCTGCAGGCGTCGTGGATATTTACGCAAATATTCCGCATAATGTTGGGCATATTTGGTTTGAAATTCACGACGCTGCCAGGGTTGAGCCGGTTCATAAAAGTTTTCATTGTTATTGTAGATATTTTGATAGTTATTTGTGGCCAGAGACCGGCTGCCACCAATTTGGACCACTTGCTCATCCTCATCGCGACGAGAAGCACTGGAATCTAGTTCTGAATTGGAGTGTGGATAGGGTTGAAGTTGAGGTGGAACAGATTGAGGATATTGAAGTGGGGGTGAGGGTGTAGTTTCCTGTTGTTGATAGTAATAGTATCCTGGTACATTGTTGTAATTGTGATTGGGAGCGCGTGTTGCCGGAAGCTCTTCCCTTCTCCAATTCGGATAGGGTTGCCTGTAGTAAGGTCCACCTCCATAATAATCATTATTTTTTGGATATTGCTGCTGTTCTTGGGCACTATACTGATTATCATTCACAATAATAGGCGATCCAGACCATATCGATTGCACTTCTGGTTGGGAATACGATTGGGCGTAGTTGGCTGTTGATTGAATTGCATAAGCATTGCCATAAGGTGATGCATACTGGGCTCTACCCCAAGCTACATCTATCATCATCAGGGCCACAAATGCATATAGCTAAAAATAATCATTAATAGATTAATCATCTCGGGTGTCGAATAATCTCGAGAAGCACTCACCCAGCTCTGGGAACTGCTCTTCACGATCCGTCCTGTTCGCGGCTTCATTTCAGACTGTTCAGAACGATTTATGCTAATAACGTATTTATATGAGGTTTCACAACAGCCACTCGGACACTATATAGTATAGTACAATATAGTATTGTATAGTAGTGCAAGATGTTCGTTTGTCAAGGTGATTGGATGAGCAACCCAACTTTACCTGACTCAAAATTTCGCGGCGGCAAATCTGTAAGGTATTCGTTTTTTTTTCTCACGCACGTTTTCGATGCAGCCCTGACAGCTTAAGTGCGGCTTGGTTGTTTTGGGCCTGGCCCGAAGTGGAAAACCGTTTGGCTGTGGCAGCACGGCCAATAGACAGCAGGCAGCAGGCAAATTGCGGTGTCACGTACCGCGTAATTAGTAATTAGATTTTCAAGTCAAACTTAATTAGAGGTTAACAAGAGCGAGTGTTGACAATAACTAATAGCTACAAAACTGGCTGCTTTGTGATATTGTTAGTAAAGCTGATTGCTATGAGTTTCATAACTTTCCCTGAAAATTCATAGATTTCAAAATAGGAGCTCATTTTATTTGTCTCAAAAAACTACAAACGTTTTCTTAAAAAGAGGGATCGATAAAAAGGGGATTAAATTGAGTTTTCATTCGGAATTTAGCTGGCTTGCTTTGCAAAGCCCATCAATACCTCTTATAAATTTGGGTGCAAGTGTAGGATAAAGAAAGCCCCATCACGTGGCACTGGAAGCTGGCTTAGGAATTCACCGCCATCATGGCAATCGTTAAACAATTGAGTTAAATGGGAATTTGGATCCCGCTGTTTGGCCACAGGCATTCCATGGCACGTACTATCCCGTGTCAAGTACTGGAAGGAAGAGAAAGAAATTTAATTGACCTTTGGATAAAAGTGCCTTTGGAATGCTTGGCACGTTATTTCGAAAATTAAGGAAAATTCTAAAAGTGCATTCTGTATGGAAAAAAATATCATTATGTTTTAAATTGAAAAATTAAATTTAAAAATGTGTTGAGAAGCTTTCATATGTTAAGAAAAATTATTCCAAAATTGTAAGCCTAAGTGCCACTAACCATTTTCTCTCTTATGGCGGACAAACTTTCGGGTGGCGGTGGATGGTTGAAGGGCTCCTTATTGAATATGTTTTCGCCACAGCATTTGATTAGATGGGCTGTTATTATATTCCTCGATCTAGCTTCGGATACATTTTGCGGTGTTTGGCGCAGCTTGTCCATCCACATGGTGGCCATTGTTTTGGAGCGAAAATCCAAAGGGCATATATTGCGCTCCAACTTCTCGATGTCCCTTTCGAATTCTTCGTCAAACTTGGTGACTTCTGGGTTTGGTTTTTTTGCTGTAGTGGATGTGTCATGCCTTGAATGATCCCGCTCCAATTCCTTCTCGCGGGCACGTTCCTTCTCCAGATCCTGTTTCCATTCTAGCTGACGTTGCTTTTCTAGCTCCTTTTCCCGTTCGACTTCCTTTCGTCGTTCCTGTTGCCGTTTGCGATCACGTTCTTGCTCATTTTTACGTTCCTGTGCTTGCTCTTTGCGTTCCTCGTCGCGCAACTTGCGTTCCTGGTCACGCGCCTTTCCTTCCTGGTCACGATCCTTGCGATCCTGATCTCGGCTGCTCTTGGATTTTGGCGCTTGGGAGCTGTCCATAATGTAGCTCCTCTGCCTGCGATCAGTCGGAATCAACATCCCAAAAAGTTGCTTTAAAAAATTAAAAACTATATTTAAAATTAACAATTTTATTGAACAAATTTAAATTAAATACCCCTAAATCCTGTTGTGTTTTTGTTGCTCATTTTGACGGATGTTTCAATACAAAGTGATAGGTGATTAGTAAAAAAAAAAAATAGGACTTGCGAATTTTCTATATATCAGTAAATTAACATAGTTTAACCATCTTTAATTTCAGATGAAAACACCCGCCATACAGAATGACTTTAGCTATTACAGACGCATCGTCAGCAGGCAGCGTGTTGATTCCACGGAGAACATGCTGGTCAGCACGGAGCTGGCCAACAGGATGTCTTTGTTTTATGCCCACGCCACGCCCATGCTCAAGGTGCTGAGCGAGGCCACCTCAAAGTTCGTCAATGACAATGCCGATGATGTCCAGAACACGACGGAAACGCTGGGCACCATGGCCAAGGTGTGCCTAAGGATGCTGGAAAATCCGTGAGTTGAAAACATTATTTACCAAATAAAATGAAAATATTGTAATAAATTCTCTATTCTTTGTTACAGAAAACTCCTGCAACAGATCGAGCGTGAGGACACGAAAATGTTGGTGCTACGCGTAATGGTCGGCCTGGTGATTCTCTATGACCATGTCCACCCAGAGGGAGCTTTCGTTCGGGGCGCCCACGTCGATGTAAAAGGGTGCGTCCGACTGCTGCAGGCACAGCCGGCCATCAAGGCGGAGCCGCTGCTCAACGCCCTGCGGTACACGACGAAGCATTTGAATGGGGAGAATACGCCGAAGAACATACAGCGCCTGCTGGCCGCATAATATCGGAGGGGATCGATGGGAGGAGAGTTCATTAACGTTAATTTCTATGTGTATGCGTATCGATTTAAATGGTTTTTACTTTTATTTATGTAATTAGTAGGCTTTTCTTGTATTATTTGTAAAAATTGTGAGCGAGTGTTGTGCTAGCAGGAGGCAGCCTCTAGTTTTATTTTTACCCCGTGTGCATTTCCAGCATTTGTTTCGTACTGTTTTAGACTCCAGCAGCCAGCCAGCCAGCCTCCACTTATAACGTATTGAAGTCGAACAAAGTGGAACGTATATATCAGCAGCAACAATATTTAGTTGATAATCTAGCCCTAATTTTAAGTAATGAAAAGAAACCCCAATTAACCTAACAACAAATTAGCGCAAAGTTTAAACTGATGGTTGAGAGAGATATGAAAGATAAATCCTAAATTTCACTAAAGCAGAGATTATACATATAAAAGAAAAAAAAATAAACACTTTTAAATCAAATCTAGAGTATTTTTTTGTACATGACGACGATGTGTAAAGATCTAAACAATGCATAAGTTAATTGATTACTAAACAAACGAATTGTACGAACTAAAATGCCTACACACAACTGAACCACAAGCAGAAAGCGGATGCATTTATAAGTATATATTTCCACGCCGTCAACTTTGATAAACGTATTTAAACAAATCTACAAAATAAACTCGAGCTGCGCAATAATAGTAATTTTTAAGATTTACAAATAGAAATAAAAGATTAATGAAATGGCAAAACTTAACGCATACGATTTGTACCAAAAAAAAACTGAAAAAAAAGAACAATGAAAATTCACACAAACTAAATAAAGATTTATATATGCGATAAGAATGAACAGAAACTGAAGAAAAAACTATAGAGAATGCTGAATCAAAATAAATATCACACAAAATCAACCATAAATTTGTTTGTTTTTATGAATATGGCTAGATGTAAGATCGGTTATCGTTCCTTTCAAATTTAAAAAATGATTTAAAGTACTTTTTCAATATTGCTCTTTATTAAATTTCAAAGGCGTTTAAAGATCGATGAAGTTGTCGTCACGCCTTTGTCAGCATGGAGTCTAGCCGCAGCAGGCGACATCCTCCTGCTGTGGTGGGTTCAAACTGCCACCGGCGATTGGGTTGACGCTGCGTACCACCTGGTGATGATGTTGGTCATGGTCAACCATTGGAGCCATGTTGTCATTGGTGTGGGGTAGAGCTAAAATTACAGGAAGACCAGTTAAATATAGCGCAATCCGAGGGTTACCCATTGCGATCCTTGCCAGAAGCCATGAAGAAGGCGAGGCCCAGGAAGAGAGTGCACAGGAGTAGGAACTTCATGGTAAAGCTGGTTTGTTTGTACAGATGGCTCGGTTGCTTCTGATGCTGTAGAACTGCCCAGATTCCCTATTTATACAGATTGCATGGCCCTAAAAACCCTTCCCAGAAATTGGCAAAAACACTTGTCGTTGCACAATATGGTGGCAGCTCGTTAGTTTCAAAATAATTAATAAGTGAAATGTCGCTTGTTGTATTTGGCAGCGATGGGTAACGTTATTAACGAAACACATAAAGCTTAACAATTGATTTTTTTCCTTTTTAGTTTTTTTTGTACAATAGAGCTTCTATAATTAAACAAAAGTTATGGGAAAAATATAAGAGGGTACGCTTACAAAGCGAGGGTGTCCAAATCAACATATAGGCAAAGTAAAGGGCGAAGGGAACTAGCATTAACTAATAAAATGTCCTGGAAGCGAGCCGGAGCTCATGTACTGTTGTTGTTGCTTTGTCGCGGCTTCAGTATCAGCTTCCCCGTATCGTCACAGCTCATATTAAAGTCTCCCAGTACCGTTCGTGTTCGTGAAGTTATGATCTGCGGCGCTATGACTAGCTTTTGTATCCCCACGATGAAGAGGACGACTGGAATAGATGTAAAATAATAAATATAGGTGGCCAAAGTTAATTAAATTAGTGTCATGAAAGTAAAAATTGAGTTGGAATGAGTACTTTAAAATGTATAAAAGGTAACCCTTTTCAGGGAAATGCTTTCGTGTTAATCAGTTAACCTATCTAAATTGTGCTGACAATGGTAGCAGGCCAACTTAGCAATTGATTAGCGTATTAGGCGAAATCGTATTTGATAAGGAGTTACAAAAGATATTGATAAGTTTAAGTGTATTTCTTAATTAAGTTTCTATTAATATGATTTTCTGATACTGTCTGATACTGTACAAAAAGGTTATTGATATCATTTTTACCATTTTATTGTACTAAGAAAAAAATATTAAATATAAGACTTATAAGAATACTACTTGTTGTTCGAATACATTTCCCTAATAGCTTTCAAAAAATATGATTAGGTAATGTAAAGACCCTGTCTTAGTTCCGTGACGTATGTATACAGAAACTATGCGTTGACCTATGTACGAAATAAACTACACATACTATAACCCAAAACACTCACTCAATGTCAGCGTGGCGACTGTGAAGATGGGATGGATCCAGAGGGACTCTGTTAGTGGTACAACGGTGGTGCGTGGATCTCGTAGCCAGTACCAGGCGCTAATGGCCGTGCACATGGACATGGCGGAGAGGACAACTGCAAGAAGTTCTACTGTTATTACGGGCCGTACTGTTCTCGCTTTTTTATTATCCGGGGCTAACTTACTGCGCCAGCGGAACGTCGAGGGCCGGTACGATGAAACCACTTCGGTGAGGCGCCTCTCGAAGGCCTTTAGATCTACATAGTATATACATATGTACATACATAAATCGAAACAACGAAAACAAACCAAGTTGTTATAGTTAGTAAACATAGTCAGTTTGTTGCGCGTTTTCCGGGTTTTTAGACGTGACCTACCTTCGCAGGCTGAGGGTTCCATTGCAGCTATTTCCTCGATACTCGTGGCCGCCTTGATACGATTAAATTTAAATTTGTCCAGCTTATATATTTTTTATATAGTTTTTGATAGGATTTTCATAGCTTTCTTTCCTTTTTTTTATGTTTTTGATGTTATTCCACGTTAGTTAGCACTGCAGAAACGGGCGTTTTTCAACACTGAAACACATAGTGGTAGCGAAGGGGGCTGCATCATGTTAGCCCCCTTATATTCCTGTATATTATTGTATGTTATGTTATAAAATAATGTAGTAATTTTAAATATTAACTGGTCTTAGTAACTATATAATAAATTATATTCTTTATAACTGAATATAACTGTATATTATGTATATTTTTTTCATAGTTTAAATAATACCCTGAAAAAATGATTTTTACGCGCACACCCATGGCATAAGGTTATTTCTTACAAAACGAAACGGTCACACTCAGGCAGCTGTTGCAAAAAAAAGGCGGAAAATAAACCTTGCAAAGCATTTGTTTTATATGCGAAAAATTAGCCTAGTTTAAGTGTTAAAACTTCGCCATGAACAACACCAAAGTGCCGCCAGAGTGGAAGAGGCGTGTCAAGTCGGAATATATAAAAATCAGACAGCAGAAGCGCTACAAACGTGCCGATGAGATCAAGGAGGCGTGGATTAAAAACTGGTAAAGGCGGGAAGGGGAAGGTGGATGTCTGGAATCGTAGAAATTATTATCTATAACCCACAGGGACGAGCACAACCACAATGTACAGGATCTGTATTGTGAGTCGAAAGTTTGGCAGGCTAAACCTTATGATCCGCCGCATGTGGACTGCGTGAAACGAGCGGAAGTGACCAGCTATAATGGCATTCCCAGCGGTCCACAAAAGATTCCCATCTGCGTGATTAACGCTGTAACTCCCATACCCACCATGTACACGTGGGCTCCAACACAGCAAAACTTTATGGTCGAAGACGAGACTGTGCTTCATAATATTCCGTATATGGGCGACGAAGTCCTTGATAAGGATGGCAAGTTTATCGAGGAACTGATAAAGAATTATGATGGCAAGGTCCATGGTGATAAGGATCCTTCCTTCATGGATGATGCCATTTTCGTGGAATTGGTCCACGCCCTTATGCGTTCCTATAGCAAGGAATTGGAAGAAGCCACTCCGGGAACTTCGACTTCCATTAAAGCAGAAATATCTGTTAAACCAAAAGAAGGAGATGACGATGAGGAAGTGGATTTGGACGAGGAAGCTGAATCGACCAAGAAACCTGACAAAACTGAAAGCAAGTTGGATGTTCCTATAGTGGAGAAGAAAGAAAAGGAGGATCCGGAGGGATCTGAAGGCCCGGATGTTAAGCCTGCCGTGGAAGATGTCAAAGATAAGTTGCCCTTCCCTGCTCCCATTATATTCCAGGCCATCAGCGCTAACTTTCCAGACAAGGGCACGGCCCAGGAACTTAAAGAGAAGTAAGTTAATCAAACGAATCTTTAATAATCAAACTTGATTAAATAAATAAATAAACTGACTTTTTTTGTTGCCCTTAGGTATATTGAGCTAACAGAGCACCAGGATCCGGAGCGTCCCCAGGAGTGCACCCCCAACATAGACGGCATCAAGGCCGAAAGTGTTTCTCGAGAAAGGACTATGCACTCCTTTCACACGCTATTCTGTAGGAGATGCTTTAAATATGACTGCTTCCTGCACCGTAAGTTCAATTGTGGGAACTGCTGCCAGCTAGGTTACCTAATGACTTTACGTTTTGTTTTTGCTTTTCTTTTCTTGTTTGGAAACAATATTATCTTGCCAAAACAAAAATCTGTACTATTTCTTAAAAACCCAAAAAACGAAATTCGAAAATGTTGTATTGAAATAATTGCAATTTAGGTCACCATGTGCAGGGTGAGTCGTTGTTGTAGTTGTTGTTTCGATAACCACACGCACACACTCTCATGCCGTTAGCCCGTCCACGCCTTCGCATCCTCATCTCGCTGTCTATGAATTATAATAATCCCTCATAACTGTGGATAATTGGCTATGTTTGTCATGTGTCTAAATTGATTCTTCGGTGTTGCTCACCTCATTAAGTGTGGCTTTTCCCAGACCATTTCTATATCTCTCTCTATCGAAAAGTAACCGATTACCCTCATCCTAATCCAAAAGCGTTTCATGGTCATCTATTAATCTTGGCTAGATTAAATTATTCTAATCCCGCTGCTCTCTTTCCACAGGCTTGCAGGGACATGCTGGTCCCAATCTGCAGAAGCGGCGGTATCCGGAGTTGAAGACATTCGCCGATCCCTGTAGCAACTCTTGCTATATGTTGATTGTAAGTAAAATATTCAATAAAAATGTCTATGTTACTATATTTTCTGAATATACCAGGATGGCATGAAGGAGAAGCTGGCGGCAGATAGCAAAACCCCACCAATAGATTCCTGCAATGAGGCCAGCTCCGAAGACAGTAATGACAGTAACAGTCAGTTTAGTAACAAAGACTTTAACCATGAGAACAGCAAGGATAATGGTTTGAGTGTAAATAGCGCTGCCGTGGCCGAGATTAACTCAATTATGGGTGAGTTTTAATTCAGGCAAAGATTTTTCCAACTGTAAAACTGATTGTTTTTCCTCTCCAGCTGGCATGATGAACATTACCAGTACGCAGTGCGTCTGGACTGGCGCCGATCAGGCGCTCTATCGCGTATTGCACAAAGTTTACTTAAAGAACTATTGCGCGATTGCCCACAATATGCTGACAAAGACCTGTCGGCAGGTGTATGAGTTTGCTCAAAAGGAGGATGCAGAGTTCAGCTTTGAGGACTTGCGCCAGGACTTTACGCCTCCGCGCAAGAAGAAGAAGAAGCAACGGCTATGGTCTCTGCATTGCCGAAAGATTCAGTTGAAGAAGGACTCGTCATCGAATCATGTGTATAACTACACTCCCTGCGATCATCCCGGACATCCGTGCGATGCAAATTGCTCCTGCATTCAGACACAGAACTTCTGTGAGAAGTTCTGCAACTGTAGCAGCGATTGCCAAAATCGTTTTCCGGGTTGCCGCTGCAAGGCTCAGTGCAATACGAAGCAGTGCCCTTGTTACCTAGCGGTTCGCGAATGCGATCCGGATCTGTGCCAGGCCTGTGGAGCGGATCAATTCAAGTTGACCAAAATCACGTGCAAGAATGTTTGCGTGCAGCGGGGACTGCGTAAGAACAATTATCAAACAATGTATCTTATTTAATTAATTAGTTCTCTTTTTTCAGACAAACACTTGCTCATGGCACCTTCTGACATTGCAGGCTGGGGTATCTTCCTCAAGGAGGGCGCCCAAAAAAATGAGTTTATATCGGAATATTGTGGAGAGATAATTTCCCAAGATGAAGCTGATCGCCGTGGCAAGGTCTACGACAAGTATATGTGCTCTTTCCTTTTTAATCTAAACAACGATTTCGTTGTGGATGCCACCCGAAAGGGCAACAAGATCCGATTTGCCAACCATTCCATTAATCCCAACTGCTATGCCAAGGTGATGATGGTCACCGGAGACCATCGCATTGGAATCTTTGCCAAGCGGGCCATTCAACCTGGTGAGGAGCTCTTCTTCGACTATAGATATGGACCCACAGAGCAGCTGAAGTTCGTGGGCATCGAACGGGAAATGGAAATAGTTTAAGCAAGAGTCTACTTATGAATCTATTATCATAAAATGGAATACAACTATATTTTAAAACACATTTAAACGGACTTTGCCACATTGGCTATAATTGGTTTGGGTCGCGATTTGAATATTAATTTTTTGGTACAAACAGCGCGGACTGTATACTCGGTCCTCTGGCGACTCTTGTGCTCCTGAGCAATTGTGTGATCCAGCACTGTGCGCTCTGCTCCAGTAGTGGCATTCAGCATACTAACATCCTGGGAGGCCATACTCGTATCCAGAAGTCGTTCTCCATCATTGGTCTTGGATTTTTCCAGCACAGCAAATGGTTTATCCAGCTTTTGTTCACGACCCTGAAGAATGTGATGGCCTATGATGAGTATCTGATAATTAGAAATTAAAATAATTTATTGCTTTTTATGCTTGTTAATTTGATAAATTAGCTTACTGGTTGGCCATATTTATTGTAGTAGAGATCACCTATAAACTGGTCATGCATATTCTGGTTGCTCCTAACTTCCAAATCACCTTGCAGCTCTATAATGGCCCAATCGCCTTTGTTAGAGTTATGTCTAAAATATAAATGATGAATGTTTTTTAAATTCAGATTAACTTTTTCAATTTCACATACCCCTATTCAGTGAAAACTAATCGAAAGTTTCTTTCAGAATTTTATTCATTCTTCACAGCTGTTTACATTCTTAAGTCTACCCTCTGAACTTCTTGAACAGCGGATGAACGTTTCCCACATTCTTGCGGCGATGTTCGTAGTAAATGGCATCATCCCCGCCCGACATAGAGCTCAATCCGCCGGCTCGTCTCACGGTACCGCCAGAACCACCTGGTCGGAAGCCCGGCTCGCCCGGCAGCTTTTCATCCTCACAATCCAAATCGGAGGCAGACAAGACCAACTGGAGTAGTTGGCCCTGCTCCTCCTGAGTGCCATACATCAAATCAGAGTCCGTAGCCATACCCTTAAGATGCGTAATGACCTTGTAGCTATAGCCCTGATTCACAAGAAACCGCTGTCGCTTGCGGGAGTAGCTCATCTCCATGGTGTCCTGCGAGACGAGGGTGTAGAAGAAGGCATTGTATTCCTCGGCAATGGCACCCTTCTTGGCACGTAGAATACGACCAAGACGCTGGGCCTCTTGACGACGAGAACCTCCATGCGATGAGATCTGAATGAGCACATTGGCTTCGGGCAAATCAAAACTGGTGTCAGCCACTTTGGACACGAAAATTGTATTGACCTGAAACAAATATTCTTTTATTAGAAAATCTTTAGTTTTTTGTCTAGACCGGCTTACCTTAGAGTTAAATTTAAAGTTTTGTAGGATCTGAATACGCTCGTTCTGCGAGGTAGGACCATAGATAAATGGCTTGTTCATCTTAATGGCATAATGTTTGAGCGCAAACACATTATCCGAGAAGACAATAGTTTTATCACCTCGTTGCTCATGATATTTAATCAGAAATTGGCAGCTGCGGAACTTGGAAGGATTCATTACATAGAGGAGCATTTTCTTGGAGGTCTTGGTGGTCAGGTACTCGCGGTAGAATTCCGGCGACATAGGGCACCATACCTCAGCGCACTGGACTCGTGCAATGTATCCCTTCTTCTGCAGCTCCAACCAGTTAGCTTCGTATAGCTTGGGTCCAATGAGGAAGTTGAGATCCGCAATCTTGTCATCTTCACGAAGAAGTGTAGCCGTCAATCCCAGCTTGCAGTGGGATTGAACAATAGTGAGCACACGACGGAACATTTTAGCTGGGATTGTGTGTACCTCGTCTAGTACCATGATGCCCCACTCCTGTTCCTGGAGCCAGCGCATTGTCTGCTCGGCTTCCCAGGATCTCTTTTGTGTGTGCGTTATCATGGAGTATGTGGTCACTAAAATTCCACAACCCATGGGTTTATCTTTTGCCTCAGAAGTGAACCGGCAAATCATGCTATCGTCGGCTGTGGACCACATCTTGAACTGCTGTTTCCACTGCTCCACAGATACACCACTGTTACAAAGGACTAGCGCCCTTTTTCGCACAGTGCAGCATGCTGTGACTCCCACCAGGGATTTTCCAGCTCCACATGGGAGTACAATAACCCCCGAGCGGGCTCTTCCATTGCCAAACATCTTGCGCAGACTCTTCTCTTGATATGGGCGCAAAACGGCAGCGGGTTTAAGGTCGATATTGATGTCTGGGTTGTTAGTATCATTGCGGAAGTCATATTCAGCTAGCAGAGGATGCTCAATTTCTATGCAACGCTTCTGGATCACCTCGATCTTCTCCTGGGCAACTTCAAAAGATACTGTCTTTAGATTGGCCTCATCCTCGTCTTCCTCCTCCTTGTCGATCTTCTCGTAGAAGTCTGTGATATCCTCTGGAACTGCGGTTGTACCATCTGCAGCTGTAGCGGCTCCTCCGGAGGCTGCAGGATCCTCTGCCGGCTTGTCTTTAGCTCCTGGAGGCACCTTTGCACCAAATTGAGTTATGGCCTTGCCATCTAATGAGCCTTGGATGAAATCCTCTCCTTCGCTGCGTATCAGTCTGCATTTTTGAATTACCGGATCCTTAAGTAACTTCTGCAGTACCTCGGGATGCGGTGACTCAATAAAATACTTATTATGCTTCAAGACCAGCTTGACCTTGCCGTAGGATAGGGTGCAGAGTCTTATAAACTCCAGGATACCTTCGGGTATGCTGGTTTTACTCAATCTTTTAAGATATTCCACAATGTCATGAGTTTGCAGACCCACCGAAACTGCGGCATATAAACTGTAGGCTGTGAGTTTATATTCATGGATATGTTCGGGTCGGCATACGGGCTCTGATATGGCGATAAGGAAGTCATGGGCATGTTTGTAAACGGGTGAGAATGATTCCAGAAAGACGTGACCATTGGGAGCAACCCAAAGAGGACGGTTGCCGTGATCTGGACGAAGTTGCATCTGTGCCCGGTAATCCTTCGCCCCATATTCATCAGTATTTACATGTTCATCGTTGGTTTCTGCATTTTTCGATGCTGCCCCCGGAACACCATCGGATTCTGTGGTATCCAAACTGTCATTGTCGTCCACTAGTTGGGTGAAAGCCTCATCTTCGGCACGCCGCTTTTTGGCTGGGTTAAAAGTAGTCGATTTAAACGAAATGTGGATGGTTTTCCATTTGTCCCATACTTACCAAACTTTTCTCCACCGCTGCGATCCTTTTTTGATTTTTTTGGCGGCCCCATTTAAACAAAAAACCAACAATAACTTCACAATAAATCCGCGAAGCAAATAGAAAAATAGCAATATACCGATAGTTTTCGATTATTCATACCGTACCACAATCGATAAGTTTAATATTATATTATTTTGACTACAATTATATTTAATTCATTATATTTGGAAGTAATAGAATAGTTAGCTATAGCGATGATAGAATAAGCAAACAATTGTATAAATTATTGAATTAATAGTAAGAACTGTAAAAAAGGCGCGCAAGTGGCAACGCTATCACTTGTGGAGTCCAGAATCTGCTCCTTGTTTATACTTAATTACACCTTATACAAAGCACTGCTTTTAATGCATTTCAATTTACTTACGTCTTTACTAAAATGGGCATGATGTTTTGTGTTGGTACAATAAATAGTAGCTGTTAAATCGCTATATAAACAAATATCACACCGCGTCAACTCTTCTTCTTCGTTTGACTGATAGGCAATAACCATAGCCTAAAAGCAATCAGCTGTTTATATGTTTTCTTTTTTTCCGCAGTGGCGCTTTAGTCGATACTAAAATGTTAGGATACATAGTTACTAACAGAAATGTTAAGAAATGTTGACAATATTATCAACATGTTGCTAAGGCATAGCTATGATTATTTCATTTCCGATCCGAAGTGCTTTGAAATAATGCTCATCCGATGTAAAAAATCCTTACTGTGCTCAAACAATGACCACCGAAAAGAAGAAACATTCACCAAAAAAGAAGACCGGAGATCACAAGTCGAAAAAGAAATCAAACTCTAAAAAAGACAATTCACATTCCAATCTTTCAAAAATATGTTACTTCATAGCTGTCTCCGATCTTCTGCATGCCCTATATTTCACCGTTCAAGCCATGATTCTATTGGTTAAGCAGGTAGGTGTTATTAAATTAAATATCAAATATTTCTTTGGGGCATAGCAACGTCAATCACTGTGGATTGGGATCGGCTAAAAGAGTTTTCACTCATTATTCTTGGCATATGTAAGTTAAGCATAAATATTACAAACATTTAATTATAACTTTTTAATAACTTTCTCTCAGTTATCGAAAGCGCCTGCATATATCTCATTCATCGCTATTATCAGGTTATGGGTGAAAAGCCAAAGAAAAGGACCTTATGCTGTAAGCTGCCTCTAAACTAGTATAAGTTACTAGCTAATTTATTTCTTTATATTAATAGGTGGCGGCAATAATGACAAGAAAAAGGCGAATAAAAGTCCTAAAAAGAAGAAAGCCAAAAAGAAGACATAAATGTTTATTTCATAAAGTTGAAAAACGTTCAGTTGGCTTTGTTTTTTTCACCAAAAAATAAATATATTTTTATAAGTATTTTAAAAAATAATTGAATAATTCACTTAATGACTAAATATATTTCTTAAAAATGGTTTTTGAATGGGGAGAGTGGAATTTACCAAAGGATAATCTCCTAAGGACTTGTTTTCTGATTGCAGCCTTTGAGTTATTAAGATCGCTGTATTTCTCATTTAGTTCAGTTTCTGTCATGTTAGTGCATGTAAGTATTTAAAAGCCTTTTTTAATTTGAATAATTACTAGTTATAATATATTACTAGACGAATTCGTACACCATAATAGCTTTCATAAGCACATTGGCTTGGATTTTAACCGTTGTGGTACTTACTGTGGGTCTATGGAAGGTAAGTAATCTTTAAAGATGATTATTCATTTATTTTTATTTATCCTTAATATAGAATCGTCCAACTCTTCTTGTTTTTTGGCTCTTATTTTCTGGCTTTGCCACTGCCACGGACATTATTTATCTGATATGGAATGTAACAGCTTCGCCTGTTTTCGATGAACAACATTTCAAGCACTGGACTATGTCATACTTTGGAATTTGTAAGGTTTCTTAAAAAAAATATTTCAAACATAATTTAATTCAAAGTACTTGCAGTTTATGAGTGCACATGCTTGTACTTGGTATTCAGATATTTTAAGAGATTATATTCCTACTCACTTCTGGAAGGCGCTAACTACGATTGGACCTCAAATTATACTAAAGAGTCAGCAAGTGAAACAACCTCTTCAACATCATTTACAAAGACCTCTGAAAAGACAACTGAGAGAAATTAATTTAACTTGGATAACGTGAAGAAGTTCTTTTGATGGTCCCAGACTAGCGGACATTCCTTATGAATTACAAAAAATAAAAGAAAAAATAAAATATTTATTTCATGTAATCGCTAGATTTCTATTTACCAACCAAGTGGGAGGGGCAAATCAATTCCCGCCCCCGCACAAACAATAATAATAATTGACTTACACAGTTTTCCATCTATTTTCCGATTTTGCCTTGGAGGACCAGAACGGAAGCTAGTCACGTTGCCAACGGGGGACCAGGACCAGGACTAGAACCATGACCAGGACAAGGGCAATCCAATCTCCAGGGCCTGCTGACAAAACAAATGCCATAAATGAGGAGCGGACAGATGGTCGCACAAACTTGTCATATCGTAGTTGGCAAAAGACAATTTACATTGGTTAAGAATGGTTTGGGAATCCGCTTATCTAGAAAGTTAATAAAATTTGTTATAAACGAATAAATATTATTTTGTCCAAATAGAATACAAATATTTTATAATACTTTGATCAAATTAGTTTTAATTTCAGTTATCACTTCACTTGCCCACTTTCCAATCGCGCCTGACCACTGTGCGCTGTCTGGGACTTTTGGCAATCAAACGGCATTGATTAACAGGCCGCCAAGAACGAAGCCCCTTCTCCTCTTGGCAAGTACGTGCTTATCATCATTATAGCTTTGATTTAGTAGACAACATTGCCAGTGATGTGATGAACCTTAGCCGGGGCAATGGGGTCGAACTCTGATGGATATTTAGTGCCGTGCGCCTATTGCATCGCACTGCTGGACTTCATATCCGCCGTGCTATTCGCAATTATCTCAGGAGTGGTATTTGCCAAGCATGTAAGACGATTTGCTTATCCTTTCGTAGAAATTATGGTTTAATTTCGGTTATTTCCAGGGTAATTGGTCAGCCTTGGTGGCACTGATCTTTACCATCTTATGGATGGTCATTATCATAGTCCTTCTGGCGGGTATCTACAGGAGGAAACTAGGATTGGTGCGATTTTGGTTGGTGTTCACGTGCCTGGGCATACTTCTAGATGGAATTATACTGCTTTATGGTCTGACTTTGGCCATATCAGTGAACTGGGAGGGTGTGAAGATAACAGTGCTGCCATTCGTAGGATTGGGTTGGTATTGGTCTAATTTTCTTTTGAAAGATCATTTTTTTATCCCTTACAGCTGTGGAAATGACCTTTGTCTACATCGTTTATCTATTTTATCTGGATATGATTGGTTATATTCCGCCGGAAACGCGCTACGAAGAGCGTCCCAGAGAAAAGAGTGGCGGCCAGGTGGAATATTCCGAAGAAAAAGAAAAGGAAAAGCCCTCGGATCGCAAGGATCTTAAACGCAAGGAAAAACAAGCCAAGGAGCGCATGAAGAAAGATAAAGCTGTTCTCAAAAAACTACAAAAACAAATGAAGAAGTGAACTTATTTGTTTTTTTAAAACGATTTTAATATTAATTGTTTAGATATATTTTTTAATAATATAATTTACGATAAATATTTAACGAACATCTCTGTTTTACTTGGTTCTTGAAAAGCATTCTTAATTAGAGCTCTAAAAAGCGCAGTGTCCTTTGTCTTCGTTCGCGTCTGGGGCAAAGCTCTTTAACTTTTATCACATCTAGGATGCGGGGACCTCTTCACATCCATACAAACCACTCACACAGACTTGCGTGCGCCAATGTTAAACACAAAATCCTTTTAAAATAATTTGCTCAACAGCGAGTAAAGAAAAAATCAAGAAATGTACGTTAAAATTCAGAGAATACGAAGAGGTTAATACCCTGCAAAAAGAAATAATAATGTAGTTAGTTTGATACCGCTAAAATATGTTTTTTTATATGCTTTTTATTACACATTAAATATTATTAAACAACTTTAATCTACGGCTCCGAACTGTCGTCAGTGTAACGAAGAAAACTCAGCTTCATGGGATGTGATGGTGCGTTATGAACGATTTTTCCTCTAGGATGTTGAAGTTGAGGATACTTCTTGGGCTGGTCATTTGCATCATGTAGCCGATGGCGACTGGGATGTTTACCAGAATGACCTTCTTGTAACAGTTTCGACTTTATAGCTTGGTGGCAGGCTTTACAAAAGGCCAAGGTCACATAAAATCGTTGAACTATGTAAAGGAAAATGCACTCCACGACTGAAAGAAACCAAAAATGAATTAAAAGAGATCTCTAATATTGCACTCACTCAATCCCAGCAGCAGCAGCAATCCATTTTTGACCAGACCCGTTTGGAAAGTGCTCTCGTTGAATACGGCATACAAAATCAGGCACATCTCCACCAGGATGCCAAGGCAGGAGAAGATAAGCCAGGCACGAACACAACTGGGTTTGCGCTGTAATTAGGCGAGGGAAACCATCACACAGCCTTCGATTGGAAATCACATTTTATATACCCCATGAATGCCAATCAGTAGCATCAGAATCATAGATACCCAGAAAATGCCAAAAATAGAAGCGAATATTGTCAGCCAACTCAGCTGGGAAAGAGGGAAAATTCCTAGAGATTCTTTATAGTTATAGTTTAGATTGCCTTACGTGTGTGCAGATTGTCTTAAAACTGACAATGGCAAAGAGCAGGGCGGCAGCCAGGTCAAAGCATCCTATAGCATAGGCCCATATCAATAGCCAATTCCTGCTGGAATCCATGTCGAAAATAGAAAATATGATTTTGAAGAACTAACAAATGCAAATCTGATCATTTTCTTTTAAAAATACATTTCATTTTTCTGGGTTATTTATAAGTTTTTATGACAGAGAAATAAAACATGGACCTATCACATAAAAGGATAATGGACTTCAAGTTCTCATCAACGAAAAAACTCCTTTCGGCAGGGTATCAAAGCGGAAACGGAAACGGCAGCCAAGTCTCGCTGCTATGGCTGTCGCATCTATTTATGCAGGGAAAAAATGAGACATACCACGATATATATATATATATATATAAATATATTTACCCATACATAATGCCATGCTGATGAAATACGTGCGGCAGCAGCTCACACGCACACAGCCATTACTCTTCCTCTGCGAGTGTGTGTGAGGGGGTGCGTGGGAGGGTGAAAGCAAGGGGAATCCCCGTTGACAAATATAATTTACTTTTTTCGCGCTCATTTGCAACTCGGGTGAAGATGTGAGAGCAGCAGCCCGGCTCGATCCCCCGGGGTGCGACAAAACCTTTTTAAACATCTCACTTCCAGTTTAAGTTTTCCCATCAGGAGCAACAGGAAAGAAACTTGAGAAGGAAAATGGTTGGCTTTTTACCTAATTTTATGGAATTTAAAATTGTTAATCTCACTTGTTTAAAATAAATTTTAAGCAGTTGGTTTTTAATATTTTCTTTATGATATTTAAGAAAGAATTTTTCTAATTTTTCTTCCCATTTCACAAATATTTTGCATATTCTATGAGAACTTAACATATTTAAGCTTTCAATCTTCAGAGAGAGAGATTGAGTTTATTTACCCCAATAAAATTGTTTATTTCTGCCATTTTAAGCATCTATGTGTGTGCAGATGCCAAACAGTTTATTAAGCAATCAAAATTCAAATGTTTATTTTAAATATTTTATTTATTTTCAGGAAAAACTTAGCAAAATTCGTCAACAAAAATGTTATTTGAGACTTCATAACTAACAACTAAAGGGAAGAGGTATAAAATTAGTGAACATGATGAATGCCTTGGATGCCTTTGGGATGGCCATTGGCTGGATGGACATTGTGGGCGTGTTTTTCTTCGAGGTGATAATGTTCTATATGATGAGACGCCGTCGCTTGGCAAAGGACATAGAAGACGTCTCAATTGAAGCTCAAATGGAAAGCAAAAGAGATCCATTGCCCAGTAAGGAAAAGCAAAAAAACATACATATACATTCATTTTTTCCTTTTTTTTAGACCTGTTAAGCAGAAAAAGGCTGACTGAGAGCGAAAACGTTTGGATATTTTGGGGCTACCTGTTGATGCTGAATGTCTGGGTTGTGATTACACTGCTCATGATTGCTGGCATCTCATTGGTGGGTGAACAAAATATCCCGGGGATATTCCATTAAAACCATTTTGGTTATACATTTTGTTTCAGCACAAACCGGAGCTTATGGTGTTTTGGTTGATTTGGTGCGCCTGTGGCCTGGTCTTCGATGTCCTCTTCATTTTCTGGTGGGTCTACGAACTTTTTGTGGGCGATGTCATCGAAGCGCTGACCAATATTTTGATCTCTCTGCTAACTATGGGTGAGTTTTAGATAAGCAAATGATTTAATTATTGATTTATACTTATTGTTTAGGAATTGAATTTGGCTTCATCTATGTCATTTATACCATCTACTTGAACTTGTCCAACGAACCAATGAACTTAGCAACGATGAGTTCAATGTGGGCGAAAAGTTAGAAAAGTCCCTAAGGATGATCTCTAATCCAAAGAAATACATTTAAATTTGTTGATTTCGTTTTTAGAAGTTAAATTAAATTGAAAAAATTAAAAATAAAATAATCTATCTTTGTAGTGATATGAATCTTGACGGCAGACCACAAACTCATTAGCCAGCAGCTTCCCGGGGGTCATAGGTCATTGTTCACGCAGCCTCAGACAGAGGAACATATTTTGTATCTGTTGTGCCCGTCGCCTCTTGTTTTCCTTTTTTTTCCTGTACTTCATCTTTGGAGGGCTTTTGTAGTTTTTAATGGTCTGCAGCCAGGAAATTGATTCATTTCCGTTTTTTGTTCTGCGCTTCCGTTCTTGTCTGCTCTTCCTTTGCCGCTTAAAATCACCAGTTTTTGAGTCCGCCGCACCAGAACTAAAATCAAATTCAAGCTGTATTAGTCCTAATTCGGCATCTAATTCCATTTGTCGAGCTTTCGAGTTTCGGAACAAAGTGCGGGGTTTGTCAACTGTCACTTGCAACGCGAAGCCAAAGTGAAAAGCAAAATATTTCTTCTTTATTAAACATTGCTGGGAGTCCGTTTATTTTTCCACTTTTTTTTTTCGTTATTTATATATACAATACTTTGTTTTTTTTTTGTGGGTTTCTTTGGGTCCCATGCCCGCCAGTGGTCGTCCTCCAAGGAGCGACTGGCTGCTCAAATTTATTGTTTGCAAATTGAAATTCTTGTCGACACGCACGAGCAAATCCATTGGGAATGCACAGCATAGCGTCCCGAGCATCGCTGAATTTCAGCATCTCAGCAGCTCGTCAGCGTCATAGTCAGAATTTGGATTTGGATGCGGGCTGGCTAGAGCTTTTGGGGGACATCCGGTTGGGGGCGTAACACTGGCACTGGGACGGATTTGATGGCTTTTGTGCTTGGGCAACAGCTCATCATGGCTTTTTAGTATTTATTAAGACTCTGATGTGCCATGAAACATATTTTGGAAAAAGAAAAAAAAATTAGCAAATATTTTAGAGCAACGTTGACGAACGGAAAACTGCGGTTTATGGGTGCCCAAAAAAAGGCAGACGTAGATATCGAAAAGCTTTGCGTTATTTTCCACAGAAATCTAGTCGCTCTTCAGGATGGAGTGCTCTTGGAACACGTGTCTTGTTGTCTGACTTAAGTCGATACTCTGTCAAGGACACTCGTTCGGTAATCAGCTTATAAAAGGTATTTAAAAGAGTCATTCTTGAATGAAATACAATTGGGAGTGAGGAATATAATATACTTTAAGCTATGAAGATCGAATGGTTGTGTTTCTCAGTCGTAGAGGTTGTTCTCTTTCCAGGTGGGTTTGTACTCTACTATTGAAGTTAGAGAGCTGTTTGTCGCTGAGTCAGAGCTTCGAAGTGCTATATATAAAGCAGTTTCCCTGGCTAAGTAGTTCAGTCAACTGGAAAAATGCGGACATTATACATATCGGTTGTAATCTGCTGCCTTATCTTAATACAGAAAGGTGACCTATGGAAAATCTTTATTTTAACTTAAACTGAAAAAGTGCATCTAGGTCAAGCTGATGAAATTTTTATGGTAGCTGAGGGTTCCTCGGACATGAGCTTCTTTGACAGGTCAGGGCAGCCAGGTAGACCTGGCCCAGGCATTCCTGGACAACCTGGACATGGAATTCCTGGCCGACCTGGCCGGCGAGGCAGACCAGGAAGTCCAGGAGCGCCAGGAGGAGCAGGTGGCATTGGTGGAACGGGCGGTGATGGAGGGGCAGGTGGAGCAGGCGGACGAGCAATGAGCGGAGGATATTGGAGGAAAGGTATTTCATTGGGTCAAAGGCGAGCAGAGCCAAGGTCACATAGTTATTTGTTTTAAGTGATTTCAATTTATAATTCATATTAATTATTATCAAAAAAACTAAAGACATATATTATAAAAAATTCTGTTATATATCAAAATGAATTTTTCTTAAAATGATTAATAAAAAAAATGTATTTTAATGCCAGTAATTGTTGGATATTTTCTGCTTGAACTATGTAAAGGTTTTTTCACACTGTAACTGAACAAATTTTAAATAATTTGCAAACGTCAGTAAATAACGGAAAGAATGCTGCTTAAATGTTTGCAAAACATTTAAAAATCAAATAAAAATAACAAGTTACTTTTGTTCTGTTTAAAACTAATGACAGGCATACAAATGTTTTTTAATGATTAATTTTCAGCCCAACACAACCTGTAAGAACCTAAATTAGAGTTCTCAGAAAATACAAATTGCAAAAAGTTCTGGGATTGCTAACTAGCCATAAAAACTTCATCTTTATTGTGTTTTTCCCATACTAATTAGTTTTCTTTGTTAGAATGTAGTCGTTGCCCACACATTCCACCTGCTACACCATTCACTAAGCAATTTTAATTAAATTATATAAGAACACTCATACCCTGGAGTACCTTGACTCACCTGGCGCTGGCATAATCAATACCGCTGCTCAACTATTCAGCACTCAATACATTTCATTTACAGGTAGGTGAGTGAAGAAAAAAAGTCCATCGGAATGGCAAAGTCTACGCAGGAAATTGATTGATTTCCGCAACGTGGTAGCAAGGAAAAACGGAAAAATATTGCCTTTTGTAGTAGATTTTAGGGAGGGAGCATGGCAGGATTACACCTTGGGTCAGGGGTAATGGTAATGTGGGCAATTAGTTGGTTACGAGATGGTGGAGACGTTGCCACTATATCATCAGCACCATAAACCCCCCTAAGGCGTATGTTTTCCCATACCAAACACCCACACTAAACGCACGTGTGTTTGTGTAGGTGTGTGAGGGTCCTGCAGGAGTTTGAACACAAGTACTTGTGGTGGCAAGCATAAACATGGACGAAATCTATATACTATACAAAACAGTAACATAACGCGATGCACTCACACACCAACTAACATCCTGTCATGATGATATGTTTTTAGGGGGGAGAGGACCGGGGGGAATGGTGCATTTTGGCATAGTTTTCGGGGGTCTTTGTTTGCATATCCTTGGCACTGGCAAAGCACGTATGTGTTTGCAAGTTAAAAGCTAAAGCTCTTCTCGTTACATGCTCAATTAAACTGGAAATGACACCGCTGGAAGCTTAAGTCACGCTTTATATAGTTTGGCATTTCAAGTTGCATTTGTTGGTGGAGAATCGAGATAACTATCTATCTGGGTCTCTGTAGAGAGCCAGGTGGCTAAAATGTATTGCATAAAAAATGCATATTATAGAAGCAAGTTTAATTTTCATTAAAGATTCTTTCAGGTTTTATTCTAATTCTTAATTCGTAAACAATTTTCCTTCATATTCTTCAAAACATTTTAGCAGCCTTTGTCGCCTGTGCCAGCGCACTCATTGTATTCCGGCAAATGGAATCCAAAAGTGCCTTTCAAAAGAGTCAATTTGTAAAGCAAACTCTTGCCTGTGCCATGCATGTTTATTAAACCATTTAAAAAGGTGAACTGCACTTTACCATACCATACAGGGCAAGTACACTGAGCGAATTCGCGATGCACTTTACCAAAATTTTGCACTTTGTCATACTGCCTTGGGGCAAATAATCGAGGACGCGAAATTGCTTTAGGCGAAGGTGGTGAACACAAAGGCGGCTGGCAATTAGCGCGAGTTGGATCCTCCATAATGTGCTTAGTCATGGAGGAGACCTTAAGGGGTGGTGGCGAGGTGGGGAACGGGGGTTGTTTGAGGGGGCAAAGGCGACAGGACACGTGCCACACTCACACGTAGAATCCAGTCAGCCGCCGATGAAAGCCCGCACCTAATAGTACGACGGCTTGCAACATTGTTTTCCCAGGCTATATAGTGGAAAAGTTAGCCCCAAACAGGACTTGACACACTCTCTCACTCACTCACTCACTCACTTTCTCACTAACACACTGTCGCACTTGGAATTGCAAATCAGTCGACTAATGTGTACATAATCAGTCATGTCCCAACATGTGAATTCCATTAGTGATACACGGCCATGCAAACAAACAAGCATTAATCAGGACAGGATGGGGGCGGATGGGATATGGGTATGGTGCGAAAGAGAGAGAGCTACCGATGTCTGGAGGGACTAGAGGTTCCTGGATCTCAGCCAGAATCCCATCAACTGGCATGGCCAAACATGGTCTTCTCCTGCCAGTCCACTCGCTGTCTATTACAGCTGGCATGCCATCCATATGCCATATTCCATGCTTATGTTATTTATGCTTATTGTCTCGGGTCACCAGGGCGGATGAAAAAATATTGTTTCCCACTCGACTTACAAATTACGGCGGCAACCGAGGCCGGTAGCTTCAGCTTCAGCCGCAGTAGCAGAACCAGTTCACCTTGATTTATCCATACCTTTCAATGTGGGCACTGCAGAAAAAGTAAAATAAAAATAAGTTTTAGGAAGTTTCAAAACGTTTTTTACCTTGGAATATCCCAGAAAGGAGTTTCTACCATCCCTCTGTATTGGTGAAGATAAGTTAAGTTTGTGAAACGTATTCTTTGTAATGGAAAGTACTTCTAACCCCTGCTTTTTCCCAGTGCACTTGAAGGCGACGTTCGCTTAATACGCCATTCATTTGGTCGCGTTATACTTCATTAAAGCAGGAACCATCAGAGGATCCTGCTGGCGAGGGATGTTGGAGGGGCTATGGCGGCCTTTTCCGGCGCCTTGGCCGCAAAGTGCAGTCGGCAAAAATTATGCGGCTCGTTTGCGATGCCTGGAAATGCGGACGGACAATGGACATTGGACAGCCAATGGCGATGGCGATGGCGAAATGGCAAATAGCAAATGCAGTGCCAACTTCAACTGGCTTGGGCCATTCGTTTATCCCTTTGTTCTCATTTATTTGCATGTCATTTGCTCCGGACTCCGGCATCTGAATCCTCCCTCTCGCCCACTCGTCACGCATCCTCTCTCTCTCGTTCGCTCATTTTCTTTCCTTTAGCTTTTTCCTGCTTTTCTCATGCCTGGTTTTCCTGGTTTTCCTCTGCCTGCCAGCCTCTTCTGCTGGGGTCACGTTTGTCTGCCAGGATGCCAGTTACTTATGGCTGTTATGTGCATTATCAATATGCATTGTGCGGCTCCTCCTGCCGCTTTATATTTTCCCAACGTTTTTCTTCTACTTTCCATTTGGGTAGCACAGATAGGTTATGATGTTTGAGGGAAATGGATTCGTTTGTATAGAAATTTTAATTACTTATGAGATTATGTGTTGGGTTTAAGTTAGTTACAAGGATTGGCAAGATGTTAGTATGATAAATAAGAAAATTATGATAACAGTATTAAGGATACCTACGATTTTCGATTTTATTTATTTAAGGGCCTTACCGCCTTGTAAGCTTCAGGAATCTTTAAAGAGAAAAACTTGTTTTATATTTAGTTTTCCCCATAAGTAAGAGTACTTACAGTTCGTTTTGAACTCCAACTATTTCACCTTCTTTACTCGCATTGGATATTTTGCCTCTCTGTTATGCAGTTTTAATAACGAATTGCTTTTTTATGGTTTCCGGCTTATGGAGCAGCACAGAAATTGGCAAAGAACGAAGTTGCCATGCCATGCAGCAGTAGCACCAACGAAGATTCTTAAATCATGTCTTGTTTTTGTATTTATTTTTAAAGTTGGATTTGAGATTCTTTAGGTTTCTTTTTTTTTTACATTTTTTACTACTGCCTTAGCCGGTTCTTTGTTAATAATGTTGTTGTTGTCGTGGTGGTGCTATTATTTTTGCTTGCGCTTTGTTAACCAAGTCAAGAATGCAGGCAGCTGCAGCTTCCGTTGTCGCCACAGTTGCCATTGCCGCTGCCATTTGTTCGCCGGGCGTAATTAGTGCTCATGGCATAGGGCGCACTTCCACCGACACTCTGGTCTCTTCCAATTTGCCACCCCCTTTGAAAGTTCTTTGGGTACTGGTAAAAAAGGGTCATTAATTTGGAGCTTGTTATGGCTTCAAAATGGCCAACAGACCTATAAAGTCATTAAATTAAATCAGATTTGTAGTTTCTATTTTATGATTTGTAGTTTTGTTTCTTAACAACATGAAAATAACTTAAAAACAGACTTCTTTTTCCAGTGTACTGCTCTGGCATTGCTGCTCTTTATTTGTAATCACTTTCTGTGTGTGGCTCTGCCAACGTTTTGTTGTAAGGATTTGGCCCGGCCCTAAGAAAGCTTTCACAATTACTTTGCCCCGGACTGAGAGTTAATTCTGTATCTGCAGTATTATATCCTGGCCATCCCTCGTTGTAGTTTTCGCGTTAACAAATTCGTTATGTGCCCAGGCATTGAATTTCCGTTAATTACGACCATGAACTGGCTGAGATTAGTGTTGGGTTTAGCTCCCTCTGATTATTAACTAATCCGACAAATTGGAGCTTCAAGTGTGCAGGTCGTGACCTGCTCAATCTGCTCAACCTGCTCCTTGGATGCCATAAATATTAAAGGGGAAAATGGTGTACACTTCGTTGGATCTCGAACACTTTAGTTTACCCCACAAGACATATCAACTTCGTAGCCGGCTAATTGCCATTTACAACTTTTCCTGTCTTAACTAAAACTTTTCAACTGCTCGACGATTCCCATTGTGGCTGCCAATTCAGCGACTCGATTGCTTTTGGCTTTGTGGCCATTGTTTGAGTTCACGCAGTCCGATCATTAATTTCGCAATTAGCAGGCCAACCACCTGCTCCTGCACCCCGCAAGGACTCCAGCACTCCCACTCAAACCGTTCTAGACAAAGTCCGGGCATAGCCTTAATTAATTCTGTACAGCGGCCACAAAAGCACACGGAGAAAAACAGGTTTAAGTTTGCTGAAAGTCAGATATAAAAAGCTGTACAAAAATATACTTAAGTTAAGTTTTAAGTGATATCAACACATGGATTGATATTTACCAGAAAACCTCTTAAGTATATTTTGTACTAAAAGGAGAGGAAAACCATTTAATTTGATAACCACTTTTCCCCAAGTACAGGCATACCCGTATGCTTGTTAATTTTTTTACACCGGAAACTTTAGAGCCGGAAGTTGTCTAAGGAAACCTGTCAAAAAGGTAAAAAGAAAAGCGTGCCAGCTGTTGCCCGACCAAGTGCATTCCATGGCGACCCATGACTGGATTCTTCGCACCATCCTGGCTCCCTTTTACTTTTTACCCGCTGGCAATGATT